CTTGACATACTCGAACGATATCGTATTAGCGGTTATTGGCAGAACAACATCCAACACTGTCAAAGCATGACTGTCCTCATATAAGGCACTATGTTGACCACAAGTTAAAGGATTAATTCAACTACTGAACGTTAGAGATTAACCACTGATACTCAGATAATTATCAATGTAGAATTTTTTAGCGGGTCTCCAATATTCTGTTCTATAACAACACATCCACGTGTTTATTTAAGTGTCACCACATTTTAACTTGTGAGATCAGTTACTTACTTCGTAAGTAAGAAATGCTACACCTAATGGTCTATTCGTAATAACGATATCCGTATCTCGTCATTACTTACGACCACAGATGATTTAAGATTCAATTATATGTAATTTGTATATCACAATCACAACTTCTTGTAATTAATAAATTACTAAAATTTGAATCTACGGACTTCACTATTTAATTCAATTGAATATTAATTAGATAATAGATCTGTCATAAATCACTTCAACTATATATATTAAAAGTGTTTATATCCAAAATCGATTGAATTTAGGGCATAATACTTACAAAACATGCAATAGAAATTATAAGTGAAGTTTAGCAAATAAAAATACACTATAATGCAAAGGGGTTCATTTCTTTGATCATTTTCTCAATGCAACTATCTCAAACAAAATTGAATATGTATTTGGATGACTTATGTACAAAAGTGGAGAATATTAACTGTGATAAATAGTGTAACAAATTAATGAAAATAACTATTAAATACAAATAAGCTTCTAATTTTATATGAATTTAGAAGAAATTAACTTAAAAATAAGAAGTATGAACACAAACAAAAAATTTAATAAATTTAAAGTACATTCAACAAATATCTAAAAAGGCTATTATCATGAGATTAAATCAAAACAATAATAATAAAACATATGTACTCGGTGGTATATGTTTTACAGTTAAGGGAGAAAGAAAGAAACCTGTGTAAGAATCGCAAGGAGAACAAATCAATCTACTAAATTGAATATTCAAAATTTTAGTTCAAAAGGAAATAATTTATTTCTTGTTGGGTTAATAAAAAATAAAATAAAAATTATCTGCTATACGTGGAATTTTAAAAGGCAAATAGACCTTTTATTTGGTTAAGAAAGGAAAAATGAAGTTTGGAAGATAAAATGAATAAATTATTCATAGAAAGAGAAAGCAACGTTTTTGATATATCTATGTGATAAATAAATGTGAGTGGTAAGTTCTATCTTATTTATATGTTTTTCTAAAGATTTTTGTATTTTCAATTTTTATTAGTATTTCGTATTTGCATATGATAATTTTATCATAAAGAATTTCATGATATAATTTTCGTTTTTCTTCAATCAACCAATTAATCTTACATAATTTGCGACTCTTATCAAAGTAGGGTCTTAGGCAATCACTTACCTCGCCGATAGTCAGTGTCGTCACTGGGAGGTTCAATTGTAAAAGTGGGTTGTCCAATGCCGGCATAGACATCGTATGATTTCCTGTTCGTCATGGGAGACAAAAATTACATAGAGAGGAGAGAAGAAGAGAGGGGGAGGGTCTAAAAGTGAACTACATATATGTATAGAGAGAAAACATGTACAATTAAATTGGTGCTTATCCATATATTTAATTTAATTTAATCTATTAATTAATGGCACCTAAACTGAAATTAAATACAACTGATTTTAGCTAGAATTCCTAGGTGCTTATCAATTTTTTAATTGATCAAATTTACTTTTAATCATATATTGTATAGAGTCTATCAATTTTATCAAAATCTCTAAGGGGGGTGTCTTCAATCTAGAGTTTGATGGATTTTAAAACTCCATATAAATTGAAGTATCCTCAATTCAGATTTAAATATAATTCATTAAAATATAGGTGTCCCCAATCTAGATTTCTAAAAATACTTATAAATTTAGGTGTACTCAACATAGATTTTAATAGGAAGTTTTGAAATTTAGATGTCCTCATAACTGGTGGATTTTAAAAGATTTCATTAAGTAGATAGATTTTGATAGATTTTGAAGGATTTCAAGGTAAAAATATAAGTACAAAGAATCAGTAACAATTTTAACCCAAACCTAAAAATTTCACAACATTTCTCACATCTCTCCATATTTGCTGCCCTTTCTCTCTCTCCCTCTCTCTCCCTCTCCCCCATCCCCCCCCCCCCCCCCTTTTAAAAAAAAATTTTTTTTTTTTTTTTTTTCCATTTTCTCTCCTT